CTGTGTGGTGTTCTCAGGAGACCGCCCACCTGCTGTTCACATGGCAGACAGTTCTCAGAGAGGCCAATATTTACAGCAGCCTCGTGGATAATTACAAAAATGGACCAGCCCACCCACCTGAAGAGACCTGGACACCCACCCAAGAGAAGACATTCTAGGCAGACACATTTTCTGTGTTTTGCCACCTTGGTGTAATTCAACAAATGCTGGTTGTGGGTGGCAGTGAAGCTAAAAAAATGGAAAATGACACAGTGTCACCCTCAGAGAGCTTACCAACTAGTAAATTATGAATAGGCTTGCTTTTAAACTTAATCTATCCCTTGAAGGGCAAATGGCTTCTTGTTGGTTACAAGGTCATTCCTGAAAGAAAATTCCTAGGCAGAAAATGAAAGCACTCAGGTTTTAATTCTGGCATTCACTTCTTAAACATTTTAAATTTTTGTTGATATCTTGTGTTTTCATATCATCTTAATTTCCAAATATATCCCTATGCAGAGAGCCATCTCTTATAACAAATAAAAAAGAGTTTCACAAAACTAAGCAACCTATCAACTGAGGGGAAAAAAGTCCCTTAAAGCTAAGCAATCTATCACAGTATAAAGAATATTCCATACCTATAGTCCCTCACCTCTCCAATGGAGGGAGATAATATTTTCTTACGCCTTCTTCAGGGCCTTGTGTCTTCAACTAGCTATTTTAATTGGAAATCCTTCAGTCATTCAGATCCCCCTTCTTGTGTTTTTCCACTTAGGACATTGTCATCATTCTTTATATGATTTTCCTAGCTCTGCCGGTCTCACTAAGTATCAGTTCCCATAACTCTTCCTGAGTCTCTTATACTTCTACGCGGTTTCTTGTGATGTGACAATATTTCATTATATTTACATGTGGAGATATTCTCCAGCGGATGGGTATCTACTTTATTCTCAGTTCTCTGCTACCACAGAATGTTTTGCTATATATTTGTATGTCTATAGGACCTTTATCTCCTATACCTCTTGGGTATATATGTCACGTTCTTAGGATAATTCACAATTGCTTCCCAGAGTGGGTATAGCAAAAGCACTTTTAATTTCTCTGAGCCTCAGTTTCCTGATCTGTAAATGGAGGGGATATAGTATGGTTCCTTTCATCTTTTAAGTACCATGATTCTCTGATTTAACTGTGTGGCCCTTGATAAGCCATCTGTACTTTCTCATCTGTAGAAATAAGTGGGGATGAAGGACCAGATGATCTCCATGGATTCCTTCAGCTCTAAAATAACAATAATAGCCAGCATTGATATAGCACTTATTATATATAGGCACCTCTTTCAGGTTCAGGTTCCTCATCTGTAAAATGGAGATAATAATAGTACTTATATAGCTTTGCAATGGGCAGTGAGGTGGCGCAGTAGATAGAGTGCAGGACCTGGCATCAGGAAGACCCATCTACCTAAATTCAAATCTGGTGTCAGACACTTAGTAGCTATGACCTGAGTTTTAGTCCTGCCTCTCCCACAAGCTAACCTCCTGGCATGGCCTTGGATTAATCCTTCAACCTCTCTAGGCTTGTTTCTGCCTCTGTAGAATAAAGTTGGTGGACTAGATCAGGGATTCAGGGGTTTTTTTGGGGGGGGGCAATCGGGATTAAGTGACTTGCCCAGGGTCACACAGCTAATAAGTGTCTGAGGTCAAATTTGAACTCAGGTCCTCCTGACTCTAGGGCCAGTGCTAAATCAGGGGTTCTTAATCTTTTTTTTGTTTTTGGTCATGGATCCCTTCAGCACTATGGTGATGCCTGTGGACCCCTTCTCAGAATAGAAAAAAAAAATCATAACTAAAGGAGATGTTATATTTCAGTTAAAAGTTAGCAAAAATAAAAATGTATTTTTCCCCATCCACGTTCATATACTCCCTGAAATCTATCCATGGACCCAGAGTTGAGAACTCCTGGGCTAGATGCTCTGTAAGGACTGTAAGGACAAGAAACTTGACCTACGAATCAACGATTTCCATTGGATGGAAAAGGTGGTCCAGAAAGAAGAAGGCAGGAGAGGCAGGATAAGTTTAGAAGACAAGAACTAGACAAAGGGGTCAAATTTGGAGGTGGAGGGGAAGCCAAAATACAGGAAGTGGGTAGGAAGACAGGCTGAGAATAAGGGAGATTAAGCCGATTTGGATGGACTGATAGAGGGTCACGAAGCCAAGAGTCAGGAGCTTAACTCTGATGTAGAGGATATTAGGGAGCTGTTAGAGGATTTGTGGGAGGGAGGTGGTGGTCAAAGTGGCAGGTGAGGGAGATGACCATAGCTGCAATGTTTCTATCGCTCTCAAAATCCAGGCCCAGCATTCACTTTCCCTCCTCCCCTTGTATTTTGCAATCCATCATTTACTTTCTTCACCTCCCTCCCCATCTGATTTCCCTCTGCATTGACAGGGGCTCTCTGGGCTTGGCAGGCTTGCTTCTATTACAGGTATGAAAGAGTATACAAAAGGCAGGGCCTTTTAGACAGCTGGCCTTCTTTTCCCATGTAATGTGCCCAGAAGCTGGATGCTGAGGGACAGACAGCAAATCTACGCTGGATAGGATTACACAGTGTCATTTCCATGGAAAACGCAGCAGGTAGAATTAGCCATGGACGCCAACTGCCTCGATTACACCATTTTACCAAATGCTTTCTAATGCAGCTCTCAGAAAAATTACCCTGTTCCTCTAGCCTCAGCAGGGTGGTACAGTGTTAACTGTCAGCTGTGTTATTACCGCTCAGGATCACTTGGTTTTCAAGTGTAGCCTAGACGTGCCTTAAAATAAATAATAATAAAAAAGTTACTTAGCTGCCTGATCAATGCAGGCTGGCACTTAGACACAGGTTACAGGGAGTCTCTCCACTGGCTTAGGTGCAGCTAGCGACAGGGAACGGCCAGGACGGGCCATGATTCTGGATTGGTCCCAGTCCACCACTCCCCCCTCACCCCCACTCCCCCCAAGTTGTTTTGACTGACTGGCGATAAAGCCTTTAAACAAAGATTAGCCAAGCTCCTTTCAGTTCCATTCAGGGCCAAGGGGGGCAAAGTCGATATTTGCTGAGCGGAAAAGGACAAAAGGAAACAAATTTTGTTTGCAAGCTCTCCAAACAGAAGAGGGTGGGAGTGAGGGGGGAGCAGCAAGGAATTCCCATTCCCCTTTCCCTTACGTGGTCCTGTCTCATCTAGGAAACAGACTTAACTAATGGCCAGGCTTTAAGGGAATCCCTGACTCACAAAGCACTGATCTGCTCCCCCATTGGGCAGCTGCTTAGCAGCCACAAAAAGCAGGTAGAAACCTCTTCTCAAATCCCAGTGTAGTTCAACAAGCAGTTATTAAGTCCCTACTATGTGTCAGGCACCAGAAGTTGTTGGGAGGGGAGAGGGGAGACACACACACACACACAAAGTCTGCCCTCATGGAGCTTACAGTCCACTAGGCAGTAGGGATGGGGCATGGAGGATGAGAAAGAGGAGGTCACATGGACCAAGGTAAGTAAATTCAAAACGAACACAGAGTGCTTTCAGTGAAGTTGTGGGTACTAACAACTGAAGAATCAGGAAAGATTTCTTATAGGAGATGGCCCTTAAACTGAGACCAGAAAGGAGCTAAGGGTACTTTCAAGAGTCAGAGGTTAAGAGGGGTAAGAGATGGGAAACAGACAGGCAGGGAAGTAAAAGATGGAATTTAACAGACAGGGAACATCAAGGATGTCAGTTTGGTTCAAGAGTATGTTGGAAATCATGTGAAATCAATCTGGAAAAACTAGACTGGAATGAGCGTGCTTTGAGTCACAAACACAGGAGTTTGGATTTCTTCTCTGGGCCTCAGTTTTCTCATCTGTAAAACGAAGGTCTTGAACAAGATGACCTATAAGGCCCTTTCTAACTTCAAATCCTATTTCATCATAAAGTCAATAGGGGGGTACTGAAGCTTCTTTGAGCAGCTGAGAAACATCAAGGTCAAATCTGTGATTTAGGAATATTAATCGGCATCTGTGTGGGGGATGTACTGGAGAGGGAAGAGATAGGAAGTAATAATGCAAACACTAAAAATAACATGTTCCTGACCTCAGGAATAGTTCTGTTCTTTATGATACTGCTCTTTGGGGCTAATTAATGTTTCAAAAATTTTCTTAAACTGAGAGGGAAAAGATAAAACGTCATATTCTATAGGATGCAGTGAGGTTTAAAAGGTAGGGAACACTATGTGATTTTATGTTTCTTTACCTTATCTGAAGTTATATGCCACTGCCATTTCCTCAATTGGCCTTTCATTTCTGAATCCAGATATCAGAGCTGAAAATGGGCCTTGGTTATCATTTCATGGGAAACTGAGGGCCAAAGAGATGAGGAGATTTGTTCAGTATCACACAGGTAGCCACTGTCAAAGCTAGCATGCCTCTAGGTCCAGTCCTTGCTACCCTTATGGATGAACTGTTTCACAAGATGCACAAAACACATTCTTTACAATAATCCATCTAGGGTAGGAATGTCATGCTTTTTTTTTTTAACTCCCATTTGACATGTGGAGAAACTGAGGCTCAGAGCCTTTAAATGACTTCATTGTGATTACCCGGCTGAACTGTAGAAGCCAGGGTTCCTAACTAGGTCTCCTTATTCCCAGCCCATTTTTTGATCCACTGTACCACTCCCTCCGATGCTGCCTGTCATCCAGGGGGCCCTCAACTTGCAAAGGAGAGAGTGTGTTTTTGTCCCTATAAGTCACAATCCTCTCATATGTACTGGCAGGGTAGAAACTAACTCCCTATCCAAATCACGTCCCAGGTAGCACAAGGCTGTTTTGGCACCAGAAAGTATAGCACTTCTCAATTACGTCTCTCACTGACTTGGCCGTCTATCAATCTTTACAGGTTGAGAGGCAACCTATCAGTTCAGACTTTTACACGTGAGTGAACCATGGAACATTTTGATATTGCACAAATACTATAAATTCTCCCTCTCTCCACTTCCCAAGAGCTGCATAGACTTAAGAAAAGCAGTCCCTCCCCTATGAATCATGAAACCCAGAAACCTTGACTAATGAAGCAGCTCCTCTGGCTGGTGGCTCTTCCTGCAGTCACTGAGTATGAGAAAAGGGCTTTCAAGCGCTTGGTGCATGGGGCCGAAGAGCTAAGAGGGATTTCTGATGAAGAGTGAGTGAGTAGCACATCTGTAGGAGCTGACATCTGGCTCAAAACTGTCAAAAAATATAACAGGAGAGAGAGAGGGATGGTACAAACCCTCCTGGACAGCTGCACGGGAGCACAGAGATAATGTGCCGATGTCACGCCAAGTCTCTTTTGGAAGCCCCCGCCGAGAGATGTGAAGGTGCGTAAATTTTATACTTATCCAGAATCAATTCACTTCCCCTTCCTCTAAAAATCCAGGCTGTGTTTCAATGAGAAAAAATAATGACCTCCTTTCTCTTCCATCTTAGGCTGAGAAAACAGCAACATTACTAGTTACTGCTTTTCAGTTCTTCTAGCACCAGGGTCATCAGCTGTGTATAACAGGATTGCTCTTATGAAGCAACAACCTTAAAAAGGTCATGACCAAATCCTGATTCTGTAAATGCTGCCATGAAAATGAGAGGAACGGGAAAACCCCCAGTTTGAACTTGGATTCCTCTGATGATCTGTTCCTTTTTAATCAGCGTGTGCTACTACAGTCGACAGGGACTGTTCTCTCTAATAAGGGGACTTGGAGGAAATATCTGAATAGCAGCAGGCACAAGGGTTTCTCCATGTTTAATAAATGTCAGTGGTATTTGCGTACGGCGCACTCAGCAACGAAGCATTTTATCTTGTCAGAGTAGATAGATGTAAGGATAGGAAGATTTTGTTCCCTCCCTCTCTCTGTCTGTAGTCTTCACAATAAACTCTCAATTCCCTATCTGAGACATAACATCTATAGTCTTGTTTGGACCTGCCTTCTCTCTCAGGCCGTGTATATTCAACATTCACTCAACAAGCAGTTATTAAGCACCTATGGTGTGCAAAGGTACTTAAGTTAAATTCAGGAGATACAAAAAGAAAAGTCAAAACAGTTCTGGGGCTTCAACTTACATTTAACTAGGATAGGTTTCAGGGAGGAAAGCAGACTATCCTATAATCTGTTACCAAACCACCATTTTCTAGGTGTGTGTGTGTGTGTGTGTGTGTATACACAACACACACACACACCAGCTCTATAGCCCAAAGAAAAGAAATGGGGAACATGGTCATAGCTAGGCATGCAGACTTCTTTTTAACCAAGAAGCAAACATCATGGTACAGTGGTGGAAAATTAGTTGTTGTTTAGTCACGTCTGACTCTTCATGACCCCATGTGGGGTTTTCTTGGCAAAGATACTGGATTGGCTTGGCATTTCTCTCTCCAGCTCATTTTACAGATGAAGAAACTGAGGCAAACAAGGTTAAGTGACTTGACCAGGGCCACACAGCTAAGAGTCTGAGGTCAAATTTGAACTCAGGTCTTCCTGACTCCAGGCCTGGCACTCTTTCCACTGCTCGACCTAGCCATTTCATAGACAAAGTCCAGTTTGAGTTCTTCCTTCCCTGACTAGCAGTGCAATCACGATCAATAGATTTCACTTCTCTGAATGTCAGTTTTCCTCATCTACAAAATTAGGATAGCTAGTTAGCTAGTATTTATGTAGGTCTTTTATATAGGGTTATATAATTTATTTATAGAGGGTTTATATTTATTTAGCGTTATATCTGACACCAGCCTCCTGGCTGTTCCACCAACTACTGTTCCACAACTGGCATTTTCTCTGGCTATCACCCATCTCTGGAACACTTTTTATACTGACTTCCCCAGTTTCCATTAAGTCTCAACTAATATTCCATCTCTTACAGGAGGGCCTTCCCAATCTCTCTTAATTCTAGCACCTTGCCTCTGTTAATTATTTTCTATTTATCTTGTATGTAGCTTGCTTTGTATATATTTGTTTGCATGTTATCTCCCCCATTAGATTGTGAGCTCCTTGAGGACAGCGACTATCTTACACCTCTTTTTGTATCCCCAGTGCTTAGCACAGTGCCTTGTATACAGTAGGTGCTTAATAAATGTTAGCTGATTGATATCAGGTTTATTTTACAGATGAGGAAACAGAGACAGAGATTAAGTGACTTGTCCAGCCACTTAATAATAAGTTTCTGAGGTTCAATATGAACCTAGGTGTCCCTGACCCCAAGTCCAGTGCCCTAGATTCTCTGAGAACAGAGGTGTCAAACATTTGACCGACAAAGCTCTGGAGTGAGGCCCAATCAGATCAAAATGTAATTGGAAAACAGTTAACAAAATAAATAAAAATACAAAAAAACACAAATAATATTAATATGTGGTTTTCTAAGTCAATATGTGGATTGCGGGGATCCTTACCACGGTTTAGTGATCCTGTTTCTGAGATTGACGCCACTGACCTAGAACATCCCTCATAAGTGGGCATCCAACCCTCTATTTGAAAACTGCTAACAACGTGGTATGGGGTCTGCTCCTGGATAGGTCAGGAGCTGAGTGATCTTCTGTGGCTGCTGAGTGTTCAGCTGGCCAGTGGTTAAAAAGCATTTACTTCCCTTCTGTACCTGATGGTCAAAGATGTCCTAATGCTTGATGAAAGGCAATCTTAGTGTCATGTACACTTGGCCACGGTATCAAACTTCTTTTCCATATGTCCTCTCCAAGCCAGTTTACATTAAGAAACCTTCCCCTCACAGGTTGGGCTACTCCAGGCAACTAACATTGTCAGGCTCTTTTCACTGAGGAAAGGCCCGTAAAGGAAAATGCTTCCCCTCTCTTGGGCCTTCCCATGTGTCTGGCAGCAGCAAATGGATAGGATCTCCTCCATCTTTGTTTGCACTTCTTGAAATTTGGGCAAATGAGACAAACTATCTCCTCCATTTTAATTTCTCTCTGGAATCACAGGACCTAGGTTCAGATTCCACCTCTGACTACTTGTGTGACTTTGGGCAAGTTCCTTAATCTCCCAGGGCCTCGGTTTATTTATCTGTAAAATGAAAGGGTTGGATTAGATGGCCTTTGAGGTACCTTGCAGGTTTGACTATCCTATAAGCCAAGGGTTTAATATTTAACATGATGAGACCATGTTACCCTCCACCCAGCAGGATTCTGCTGTTGTCACCACTGAAATCAATGCTTGGGTCCATATGGATTTTAACTTAGATGCTGAATCTTGTGCTATTCTCACATAAGTTGCACAGATCATTCCCCTGGATCATATTTTTGCAACAAATTTTAAATGCTTACTATAGTCCTCTAGTTATTTATTGCAGAGGGTGTTTTTGCTACCTGGGGATTAGTCACTAGATTTTTCTGCTCCTCCCACAATTCCATCCTATTAGCTTTATTTACATTTATAAATTATGCACCAAATTCAAAAGCCTCAGCCATCCTGAGCTCAAATGAGTCATAGGAAAAAACATAGGCAGAGCAAGAATAAGGCCTAGCTTCCTCTTCCTCCAGGAAGCTTTCTCAGTTCATTCTAACATACACAGATGTGCTTTAAGAAAACATTTTTTTTTAACACTTAGTCTTATGTGAGGGATACTGAAGATATCTGAAAGCTAATTTCATGAGGATCCTCTTACTATGGAAATCCCCAAGTACCAATAAAAAAGACGGAGAAGGAATAGGGTTGGTTCTTAGTTTGTTCGTTTGCTTTTATTTGGGGGAAGGACAGGGGAAATCTATGACGAAGTAGATCATATAAGAGAAAGATTTCATTCTGTGCTAGCACCTCACTCATAAAGTCACAGATATCCAAAGTTGAAAGAGAACTCAGAAGTTATCAATTCCAACCTGTCAAATGGTTTAAAGTAGTAGTTTTGAAGCTGGAAGAATATGAGTTTGAACCTAGGCTCTAGAACCTAACATCTGTGTGACTGTGGACAAGTGATTTCACCACTCTGGGCCTCAGTCTCTTTGGAGAAGGATGCTCACCAATAGCTGATTTAGGTTAACACAGGAGTGGGGAAACGGCAGCCTTGAGGCCACATGTGGCCCTCTAGGTCCTCAAGTATGGAGACTGAATCCAAACTTCACAGAACAAATTCCTTTAATAAAAGCATTTGTTCTGTAAAACTTAACCTCAGTCAAAAGGTCACCCAAGGACCTAGAAGGCCACAGGTTCCCCACCCCTGGGTTAACAGTTTAGCCAAATTCATCAATGATTAAGTAGGGGAACCAGGTCTTCTGGCCCTAAGCCACTCCTCTTTCCACTACATCATATTGACTTTCTGTTTTCTCTTTTTTGTCTTTGTTGTTTTTACCTCTATGTTATCTCTTACGTTGGTTCCCTTCTCTCCACTCACACAGCCACCATTTTGGATCCTGTCCTCACTAACTCTCCCCTAGATCACTGCCATCACCTCCTAATTGGTTCCCCTGTCTCAAATCCCTCCCTACCCCAATCCATCTTCCACACAGACTTCTCTGCTGCCCTCTTACCTGGAAGATCCCTCTACCTGAAATGCCCCCTCCTTCCACTGGGGAGTTCCTCCCAGAACCTCCATTTTGAGGAAAGGTATAGGCCAATTATTCACTCTTCCCCCAGCTCCACTTCTGACTTTCCAGACTTCGCCACCTTCTCCAATGTGGACACTTTCTCACCCTCCCACATTTTCATTTCCCTTGTATGTATTGTCTTCCCCAATTAGAATGTAAAGTCCATGAGGGCAGGGACTATCTTTCTTCTTGTTTGTATGTGTTCCTGGCATTTAGCACAATGCTTGGCACACAGTAATAATAGTAATTAATTAATACTTATTGACTGATCCAGACATCAAAGCAATTTTCCAAAAATGTAGTTCTAGCTAGGTCATCTCTCTATCAAAAAACTCCAGTAACTCCCTAGCCTACCTAGGATCAACTCTAAACCCCTCTGTATGACATTTAAAACTCTTTACAAATTCATCCCATCTTACATTTTTAATCTTATTATTTATAATTCCCTTCCATGCATTGTAAGGCACAATCCAACTGCTCTTCTTTCTACTCCTCACATACAACACTCTATCTCCTATGTCACTCAGGGCTGTCCCCCATGCCTGGAATGCATTCCCTCATAATTGCCTCTTAGGATTCCTGGTTTCCACCAAGACTCAGCTCATACACCACCATATTTATTCATGAAACCTTTCCTGGTCCTCCCAGCTAATGCCTTACTCCTTGACACCCTCCAAAGTTCCTTTATATCTCTTTTACATGTATTTTCATATATCTGCACATTTGCATGGGCTGCTAGGTGTCCTGGTGGATAGAGTGCCAGGCCTAGAGTCAGGAAGACTCATCCTCCTGAGTTCAAATCCGGCCTCAAACACTGTGTGACCCTAGGCAAGTCACTTAATCCTGTTTGCCTCAGTTTCTTCATCTGTAAAATGAGCTGGAGAAGGAAATGGCAAAACACTCCAGTATCTTCGCCAAGAAAACCCCAAAATGGAATTACAGAGTCGGACACAACTAAAAAATGATTGAACAATATATTTGCATGCTGTCTCCCCTCTTAAGACTGGAACTCCCTGAAGGCAGATGGACTATTTTCTCTTTTATCTTTGCATCTCCAACAACTAACACAGTGCTTGGCACAAAGCATGGTATAATAAATTCTTGCTGATTGATTCCTACTTTTTCTATTGTCTCCTTTCCTTTCAGGGAATAAAATTACAGCAATCTTCAATAAGGAGTGAATGACTAAAAGAAATCCTTCCAGGTAATAAAGATGCGCCTCCAAGAAAAGCTTGTTAGCTGAAATTAATCTCCAACTCGCAGAGTGAAGGAGAGATTTTTTTTGGAGCAGGAAACCTTCAGATACTCCTTGACCACTCTTGTATTTAGTGCTCCTTTCCCCCTAAATTATGACCCAGAATTGGCATTATTTAGCAACCTGCAGAGATCCCTATCATCCTGCCTTGCTTTTGCAAATGGCAGCTAAGCGGTGCAGTGGATAGAACTGTGGGCCTGAAATCAGGAAGACCAGAGTTCAAATCCAACCTCAGACACTTATGGGCTGTGTGACCTTGGGCAAATTTATTAACCTCTATTTACCTCCATTTCCTCAACTGTAAAACGGGAATAATAATAGCACTTACCTCCCAGGGTTGTTGTGAGGATCAAATGAGATAATATTTGTCAGGCACTTAGCACAGTGCCCAGCATATAGTAGATACTACGTAAATGCTAGCTATTAATTAATTATTATTGTTATTAAATGGACCTTTACCCTCAGGGTGGTCAGGGAGATCTAAAAATCATAGTTATAGGAGAGAGAATCATAGCTACAGGAGAAAGCATGTAAAGAGTAGAGAATTCTGGAGTGGAGGATTTACTGTCTTGTTATTTACTGTTCTCTAATTGCTTTGGCAACTTTAATCTTATTCCCACCCTCCTACCTCCCACCCCAGGTCTTCACTCAACCAGTCAACAACGATTATACTCTTGTGTCTTTTCCCCATAGACTAAGTATGTATTAAGCCCCCTGTATATCTCATTCATTCTAGGAGCCAGCAAGACACGGCTCTCAACGCTAAGGGGGAATACAAAAATGAAAACTAAACCAAGGTCCCAGCTCTCAAGGAGCTTAGACTAACAGAAGAGATAAATCGAATGCACCACACACACACACACACACACACACACACACACACACACACACACACACAC